GGATCATCATTTCCTTATTTGGGTTTTGTCTACCCTTAATATTCTTTTTCTGGTATAGTGGTACTAATTCTACTTTCAACCGTAGGCCTTGCATTATCTTCTATACTTGTTGTATCCTGATAATATTGGTCTGAATGTTATATTAAAAACAAACATAGATATCTTTTCTTGACGCATTTTATTTATTTTATTTTTTTGCTTACAAAATAGTTTTTTTTTCTTGCTAGAACTACAAATAACTGACAATCCTGAATATTTCAATGCTGAGTACAACTGGTCATTGTTAGGCTTCCTTTATTACTGTAATAACAGAATGATTTCAACTCAATAAAATGAAAGAACACACCCGATATGCTCGCAACCTCTTAAGCATATTGAATAGGAATCAAGTAAATAGAACTACAATAAAGCTAGCTAAAGACGTGTTTTTCAGATTTGAAGTTACATAAATTTTTTCTTTTTGATTTTTTGAGACAGAGAGTAGGTCTAAAAGACTTTTGTCTTTCAAATAGAACTGCAATCTGAGACAACCACCCACTTCCAGACTGTAATCTGGGGGTGATGATTTGCGAATCATAGTAGTTTCACCCTGTCTCCCAAAATATTTATTCTGGTATTAGCAAACAGGTCCAAAGAATGAAAATCCTACAGATAGGACTATAATCTGAGACAACCATCCACACCCTCAAACTGCGATCTGAAGATGATAATTTGCGAATCAAGGTGGTTCTGTTCTAACTCTGAATTTATACAATCTTCTGAAAAGCATTGCTTCTTTGTTGATTTTCTAATATATATAGTTAATATATCATTTAATAAGATGAAAAGAGATCATTGTTAGTCGCTAAATTTTGGAAAAATGCAAAATTATCTCAAAGACGAGAAGTTTTGGCAATAGATAAATGAATTACTTTGATGGTATGAAATAAAATTGTTGATTCTTTCAAAAAAAAAAAAATTTGTTGATTCTGATATGTCAAAGAAATATAGCATTAAACATGTTTTATTTTCTTCTGATGTTATAGGAAGAAAATGCTACGAATATCACATATTCTGTTTTTCAGCAAGATTAAATTGTAAGAAATAATTACACAAAGCATCTAAGTAACAGACAATTCCTGAAAAATAGTGAACGTAGTAAAAAACAAAAGCATGTGAGAATTTTTGGAATTTTTGTTTTGTAACATACACAAATGCAAGTGGAAGTAATATAATTAATATTTTTTTAACACTATATTTCAATATTTAGAATGAAGGCCGAGTAGTGAAAAACAATGTAAGTGATGAAAAATCAGAAGAATATATGAGCTAGGTGCCAAGAAAAGGGACCAAATTGACAATTTTTTTGAAAATCTTTTTTAATCCAAAATCAGCCCAGAAAATTTTTCGCAAACTTTTTTTATTGATTTGATCCCTTTTCTCAGTACCAAGCCAACATTAACAATAAGCAGATTTATAAGATTTATTAATTAGCATTTTAATACTACAGAATGGTTGTGAAAATCAAAATCCAAAAACTATAAAAGATTTTTTCTTTAAGAAAGTTGCAATTACTCAACCTTTGTATGAGACTACTCTACTATTTGCTATACTAAATATAGCTAGTGTTAATGAAAATGGCCCATCAACTGAACAAAGAGAACGTATTGAGCAAGTAAAGAATTTTGGATCTAGCAAATTTCACATAGATAGATATCTTGCTTATTATTTGTCACTTTATATAAGTTCGATCTTCTTATAGAAGAGATAGATAGCCTTCTGTATAAAAACTTTAGCGATTTTATTGATTGTAGACTAATTATCAACGGTGTATATATATGATCAGAGATGGAAAAATGGCACCAGTTGTCAAAATGTGAAGAACTTCATAAACAAGAGTATGTATATTTCATTAATAAAATTATGTGAGCTAGGTTAACAATATTTAAAAAATTTTTTTTGAGCTTGACTAATTTAAAATTAGTATAGAACTATTTCACTTTGGAAACAAAATATTATTTTGCTTATTTTTTTATAATTTATTATAGAATTTATAATATATAAATAAATTTTTTGCAAACTTTTTTTTTTTTTTTGTCAATTTCGTCTCTTTGTTCAGCACTAAGCCCATATGCACCTTAGATATTACTACTTTAAATTAACATTTTGATGTTTAATATTTTACAGTTTGATGCAT